AAAGATATTATTGTAAGAGGCAAGCCATGTAAGTATAGGTTTCTGATAGAATAATTAAGCTAAGGTTTATTGTGATACATATATATAAGAATGCAATGTAAATTACATAAGTGATAAGTCATGAAACTATATGTGACTATAGAATATTTAAGAGAATAAAATATAAATTAGAAGATAATAAGTTAATAGACTCTTTGAAAATGGTATATAAATTAGGGGACACAAACATAACGATGATACGAACCTATAGGCTAAGCACTATAAGAAAGAGTAATATTTTTTAAAAGGAAACTATGTTATATGAGTTATAACATGAAGAACTATAAAACTCTATGATGAGGTTATAGGAGTTATGTAGAACTAAATTAAATGGATAGAGTAACTCTAATTAAGTAAGGTGAGATAAGTGATAAGGGTTATATGTTATTGTATAGTTAGTATAATAAATCATGTAAGCCGGTACAAAGGGAAAATGAGATAAAGATAAATAGCTTTTACCTATAGGATTTATATAAGATTATATGTCGGTGTGATAACATGAAAAAGAGAACTAAGTTCTATGATATTGATCCATGTGAGTATAAGTAATGTGATTGCATAAGATATATATATATTAATATGATTTGGTATATGCCATTTGATTCATGTGTATACATGTAGATAGGATATGTGAATATGAGTTATGCGCTTATAAGTGATATGATCACATGATGTGATAAGAAACTATGAGAATATGTCGTTAAGTGATGTGATTATGTGAAATAAGATAAAAGATAATGTCCATGTTATGTAAATTGAGAGCTAGAGGTATAGTTGACATGCAAAGAGTCGAGGGTCTACGCAGTCGTTCGGGACATATATGTATTCTTTGGAACACGTGTGAGGTCTTTTGAGACACATACTTGATCCTTGGCATATTTATATGATTCTTAAGGAATTTCTACGTGGTCTTTAGGGACATATTATATGGCACTTCGGTGCATTTCTACGCGGCACTACGCTGCAATTCTATGTGGCACTTCGGTGCATTTATACGAGCTGTGGTGACAACATTAGTGCACAACCTCTATAGACTCACATATTTATAGTTCGCATAGGTGTACATGTGCTAATAAAGAAATACAAACAAATACATGATATGTAATGTACCTGTTTTGCTATGTGAAATGTAATATATGTTATATGTAATGTCGAATATATTAATTGTTAAATGAATGATATGATTGTTAAGAAGTTTAAGTATAACAATAGATAACTAAAAGATATAAATGGATGAAATATTGATTCTGAAATGAGGCTATTGATAATTAAGATAAGATTTATCTATTTGTATGCATGTGATTATATGGAATGTTATATTGATTTGTATGATATTATTGTATGATATGTTCATGCATGTTTAGGAATTAGAGTTTCAATTATGAGTTTTATATGCCTCACTAAGTCTTCGACTTAGCGTATGAGTGTCTCACACGTAGGTTTCGGAAAGCGCGAAGAGAATTTAAGAGGAGCAAGACAACTTAGCATCTTCCTTACAAAGTTCAGATCAGAAAAAAAATGTTTGATATGTATTTTATTCTTTTAGATGTAGTTGGCATGTAATATAAACAATTTGAATTGTATATGCTCTGATAAGTGTGAAACCTTTTATTTTGAAATAATATGAAGTTTTATTTAATGGGGATTTTTCATTATTTTGAACAAGTAATTGTTTAAAAGTTGATGTGACACCTCAAACTCGGATCCGGGTCGGATACGGGTTGGGGATGTTACAGTTTTTGTCATTCCGACTAAATTTTGTATATTATAAAAGATTTATTTACTTTTAATTATTAATATTTGTTATTAATTTTAGGTTTTTTTAGTTTTTGATAAATCTGAGGTGTATACAAAAAAGATAATATTTGTTTAATTATTTTGAACTATTCAATTAGATAAACATATGCGAAGCTCGAACTTGAAATCTCAAATGACAACAAATCTCTAAACCACAAAAATTATTTGATTCAATATTAATTTTTTTTATTTTTTATGGTTAATAAAAGGTAAATTGGCCGCCTAGCTTCCCGTTCTATCCACTAGCAACAGTTCCTCAGCTTCTTTAGGGCACTCTTCCAGAAAATTGGTATCTTCGTGGAGTTTCTGCATCTGCTTGGCGACGAAATCGGTGACACGATTGACCTCTCTAGGTATGTGATTCAGTTCTACTAACCAATTTCTCTTCAGCATTTTCTCGATGTGTTGCAGAATAGCAAATTTACTGTGGTCGATTGATCTATTCTTGATCAGGTTGATAGCTTCTCTATTATCAGATTCTAAAATCACGCTCCTTTCATCCCCATCCAAGCGATTCTTAAGCCCTCATGGATACCCCACAACTCTGCTTCCAAAATAGAACATATCTCTATCTTTTTCCCAAAACCCCAACGCCAATTGCGATTGCAGTATCTTGCAACAACCCCACACATAGCTTCTCCATTGATCTGTCGTTTGGTACTATCTATGTTTATTTTACAATAATTATTTGTTGGTTTTTGCCATTTGCATCAAACATTATCTCTGGTTAGTATGCTGCCAGAATTAGTAGAATCAAAACTCTGTAATTCTTGGGTCAATCTACTAGCTTGTATGATAATCGAATCCCTTTCAATCATCTCTGGGTCGAAAATCATTTGATTTCTTCTCTTCCATATGTGTTTATTTATATTATCATAATATGAGTCTTCAATTTTTTATCATATAAAAAAAATAAAAGGCAACTATTAACAACCTTTTGAAGAACTAATATAAAAAATATTTTTTTATTGATTTTTATTCATGATTCAAGACAAAATATGTATATACGTATTAAAAATATTTTACATATAGTTTTTCGACACAAATCCTATTTTTTTATCTTTTCTATATAGAATGAGTTTGCTACGTTCGACAAGCACCGATGAACACCATTAGTTTAATTTATAAAAATTTAAAATTTTAAAGGACTCAACTAATAATTATAAATTAGTTAAAAATTTAAAAATAAATTATTTAAAATAAAAGGTAAACTATATCAGTGACCACTTAACTATTGCCTCTTTTCATTTTGACTATCATTTTTGAAATTTTGTCAATCATGTCACTCAACTTTTTAAATGCGTTCAATTAAGCTACTTGTCGTTAATATTTAGCGGAGAAGTTGATGTGGCCGTTAAAATATGTAGTATAATTACACATTTGGTCATTGTTACTTATATATTTTGTAAGATTGGTCTTAATTTTAATAAATTAAAATAAACTTAACCCTCAAATTAAATAATGTCATATGTCACTAGTGTCAAGTGTAATGAGATGTGTCACCATCCGATTGATGATTAAGTTTATTTTAATTTAATAAATATATTTTTATCACCAATTAGAGGGTGACGTATGTCACCCTTTAGAAGAAAGAAAATTTTGGACGCTTAAATGATACCCAAAAGAATTAAACATGAGGTTTGGGTTGAAGAAGCAAGGCTCAAGTATTGAGCCAAAATAGTTAATTGGTACAAATTTGACTACATATGTTATTTATGTTGTATATTAGTGTAAACTTAAATTCTTAATATTTTATATATTTTAACTTAAATTCACATATTAAATTAATTTTAAATTTTAACATTAAAAAATTTATATTTTTTTTAACTTATTAAATATATTTTGTTTTTGTTTTAACTTAAAAATATATTTTAATCTATATCTTAACTTAAAAAATATATTTTATTCTCATCTTAACTTATTACATAAATTATGTTTTAAGTTAAATTATTTAATATATTTCATTCTTGCCTCAAATTATTAAATATAATTAATTTTTATTTTAACTTAAAACATATATTTTATTCTTATTTTAACTTAAATTATATAATAAATTATATAATATTTTTTAAGAATATAATTTATGCAATAAGTTAAGATAATAATAAAATATATTTTTTAAGTTTAGATAAATACTAAAATATGTTTTTAAGTTAAAATAAAAATAAAATATATTTTTAGCGTTAAGATGTAAAATTAATTTAATATATGAATTTAAGTTAAGATATATAAAAATTAAGAATTTAAGTTTACATTAATATACAACATAAATAACATACGTAGTTAAATTTGAATCAATTAACTACTTTGGCTCGATAGTTGAGCCATGCTTTTTCAACCTAGGAACCCTATGTTCGATCCTTTGAGCATCATTTAAGCGTCTAAAATTTTATTTCCTCTAGAGGGTGACACATGTCATTACAGGTGGCACCAGTAACACATCATACAATTTGATTTGTGGGTTAAGTTTATTTTAGTTTATTAAAATTAAAATCAAATTGACAAAATATATAAGTAATAGTGATCAAATGTGTAATTATACTAATATTTTAACTGTCACATCATCTTCTTTGTTAAACATCAACGACAAGTGGCTTAGTTGAATACATTTAAATAGTTGAGTGACATGATTGACAAAATTTTAAAAATGATAGTTAAAACGAAAAGAGACAATAATTAGTAATCACTAGTATAATTTATCATTTACTTTAAATAAATTACTTTTAAATTTTTAATTAATTTATAATTATATATTTAATCGTTTAAAATTTTAAATTTTTATAAATTAAATCAATAATATTTATCGTAAATGATATTCATGTGTGCTTGTCGATGGTAGCATACTTATCGTGTCCTAAATCTCTTTGCAGTGTGTGAGAGTAGCGTGCAATAAATAAAGATGTTGAATTCGTACGATATCGAACAGAAGCCTACTAACCCCATTTTTCCTTGGATAAAGAAGTTCAAGTCACACTTAAGTGTGGGTCATGTGTACCTGTATCAAGAACTGACCCAAAAAAACAAAAAACTTTGCATGCATGATGACTAATTAATGATGAGAAGTTAAACTAACCGAACTCTCTAATAAACCAAGGATGAACTTGCGTTATTGAATTTAAACAGATCAGTGGGTGGCCCTTCGTCATCGCCACCAGCAAGCATCAATCTCGGTGAACAAAACAAATGGGTCTTAGAAAAAAAGGTGTCCCCCACTGATCCAGCTTTTCATAGACGAATTAATTCCTCCCTAAACTCCTACTTCTGTAACCCCCTGAATCGGGGTGACGGTGATGGTCTCGTTGGATTTTAGCACCAGATCGGTGCGGCAAACTGGACACGTGGAATGAGCATAGAGCCAAGCGTCGATGCAATCATGATGGAACAAATGACTGCATCTGGGTATCAAACGCAGCGTTTCCTCGTCTTCGAACTCGTTCAAGCAAATAGCGCATTCGAGAGTGGCTTTCCCCGTCTTGACTCCTTTAAACGTCGAGTAGAGAAACGTCGGGAAAGTTTCAATCACCGATGAGTCGAGTCCACGTGTCAAACTCCTAGATCGTCCCCTGAGATTTGTAGAGGAATCCCAGTTCCGGCGTTGAATTCTCCTTTCCGCCCAATCCCTCAAGTCACCGCAAAAATATCCCATGATGAAACAAACCATCACTAATACCACCATTAAGATCGCCAATTTTGTGTGGAATCTTGTTCCAACCGGACCGGGACGATAGGGCGGCGGCGAATCCGGGATTGCGCGGTTGACAACGGGCCGAGGAAAAGGGGAAACAGAAGGAATGAGCTTGCCTTTCTACGGCTTCGATCTTTGAGATTCATCAGACAACTACTCAAATTAGAAGACAACAGTTGGAGCGTAGATTTGCTGATCAATGCTCATATATTCTATGAAACTAAAAAACCTACTTAAGCAATTCCAAAGTTTCTAAAAAATTTTGTAAGCAACTCAAAAATTGACACGTAAGCAAATCCAAAGGAATGCTGCGAATTGATTGGTTGATATTTTGTTACGATTTTCTTTGGATTTAGGATTGAGGAAATGTGCTAATTTCATGTATTTACACCAAATTAAGTTGAAGATTTAGATTTGTGTAGAACAAATCTAAGTTTATAGTTGGTTTAATTTTAGTTTAAATTAATAATCGCAGAATTTGTTAAGATAAAGTTGGCTCATGGTCTATTTTTTAAGGAAAATTTTATCACACTCTACTAGCGGCGATGAACACCGTTACTTTAATATATTACATTTAAAATTATATAGAACTAAACGTATAATTATAAATTAAAGGTGAATTATTTAAAATGAAGGGTAAAATATAACAATGATCACTTGACTATTTAAATGTATTCAGTTAAGCTTCTTGCGGTTAATATTTAACAGAAAAGTTGATGTTGCAGTTAAAATATTTAATATAATTACATATTTGATCATTATTACTTATATATTCTATCAATTTAATTATAATTTTAATAAATTAAAATAAACTTAACCCTTCAACTTTGGCTTAGGAACCCTAACATAATATAAACTATCAATTTGGAGAAAAAACTATGTTTTGAATTTAAAAGTTAAATTGAAGTATCTAATTAGAGATTAAAATGAAAATTAAGCATCACATTGAACATTAAAATTAAATTCAAGTATCAAATTGAAACCAAAAAATAAAAATAAAAATACGTTACTCTAATTTTTTATTAGAAGTGGATTCAGATAGCTTTTCATAAGCTACGATGCCTTTAGTTAGTGACTTATTAGTACCGAGTAATAATATCTTTGCTAGCTATGTACGTTCCCACCACTGATGTATGAGAATATGTAACTTCTCCAACTAATGCAGGAATGATGAAATTTCAGCGAGTTTAAAAATTGGGTGGTCCCTTTTCTTATTGTATATTATCAAAGGCAAAATTTTCTTGATTTTCTGCGTCGTCCTCACAGGACACTTCACCAGGGCCGGCCTAATACATGTGCCATATGGGCCTTAGCCCAGGGCAGCATGTTGAGGGGCATCAGTTTTCTTCACTGTTTGTTCTGTAAACAGTAGAAAGAAATAACAAAGTATAGTAATAAAAATCAAAAACTGAAAAAAAAGTTTTTTTTATGGATATATATATATATATATATTAGGTGGGGGAACTCTCATGTCAAGTGGCTGAAATCTCCTCACAGAGTCCAAGTGACTCGATCGCCACTTTGCTTTGGAAGAGCTCTCTTTTCAAGCCCTTCATGGCTGTGGGCTTGTGGATTTTTAAGGTTCTTTAGTATTAATCCATTTTCAGGTTTGCATCTTTCTCCCTATTGTTCAAAGCTTAGACTTTTTATTGTATTAAGCTTTTTCTAGCCGGTTGATTATGTGGGTTTTCGCTTGTGCTTCAAGTAGATGAGTATAGTAATTTAGGGTGTTTTTCTTGCTCTTCCAAGGTTTTCAATTTGAGGAAATGAGATTTCATAGTTGAATTTTGATTTTTTTTCATGATATTGTCGTTTGAGTTTGGGCTTGATTGGTGCTTATACAATCTCTTTTTCTTCCTTTTTTTGTTTCAAGCCTATGGAAATGAATTTCTTTTTGCTTTATACTTGATTTCCTCTGAGATCGCTCTGCTAAATTTTGTTTGGTTTTCTAGAAATCAAAGGAGAAGCTTCGATTCTATTTAATACCCTTTCAAGGTCAAGTGCTTTAGAAAACAAATTTAGGTTGAACTATTGTAATTTTTGGGACATTGAGGACGACCCTTATTTTGGTCTAGGATAGAAAAAGCTTGGTCTTTTCTCCTTAAAAATCATTTGATTCGATTTCTTCACTTATACTTTCATGGCAACCAAACATTAAGTTTAACTATTTTTCTAATTTTCCATGATTGGATGCTCATCCCAACAATAACAAGACAATATTCCAACTAACTTCAGTTATATTACTCTATGTTTCCTTTTAATCCAGTAAAGTGGTGTCGAAATTTTCCAGCTAATAGCAAGGAAAGGGTTATTCAAATTTTGATTGTAATGCAGGTGCTAATGTTTAATAAAACTGGAAACATTGTTTTGGATGAAAAGGCTGCAAAAGCTGTCCCACGTCATGCTTTTGCCACTCTTAGTTAGTGTAATAGTCTATAGGAAGATAGTGCTATGTTTTATGGCATCAGTTTTCTAGTGTTTATAGTGTGTATAAATATTTAGTTTTTATTTAAAAAATGCACAAAAACATCATTTTAGGTGATATTTGTAGCCTTGTAGGTTTTGGTTTGTATTAGTATTGATATTGTTTGACTATAATTTCTATTACATTTTTGTTTTAAAAAAATTATTTATGTTTTGTCTATTATACGGTACAAATATAGGGGCATAAAATTATTATCTCGCACAGGGCAGTAAAACTCATTGGACCGGCCCTGCACTTCACTGGTCTCTACACAAAACCATCTCAACCACCGACTCAACAATAACGTAGACCCCCATCCAGCTATCTCTCAATTAGAGCCGTTCATTTATTCCATATCAATTTCTTCCATCACCCACTGTAACACAGATACACGTGTGTGAGTGTAATAATCAAACTCATGGTTTTCAGAACCGGATCGGTTAGTGAACCGGCCATGCTACCGGTTCACTGGTTCAACCGGTCGAACTAGTCTGATCGGTCGAAAGAACCGGACGACGTCATAATTATTTAAAAAATTAAATAAAAATACCAAAAATATTTAATAAAAAATAATTTTTTATATCACAAGTCATATTCAAAGCAAGTCATAACATATATAAGTTAAAAACCATAAAATCAAGTGAAACAAAATGATTCAAATTAACTACAACATAATATTTAAGGTAAAACATATTAAATAATAAATATAATTATATAACTATAATTAAAAAATAAATTTGGGGCTAAATAAATCATAACAAAATGATATTGTTTGGTTTAATTTTTTTAAAACAATCCCACATGACTAAGAAACATAGAAGAGCATCCCAAAAGTTTAAAGAGTAAAAATATGAGAACAAAACAATCCTACATGGCTAAGAAACATAGAAGAACATCCCAACTAACTTCTATAAATAATAGAGGTAATTTGGCATTCAAAATCATGGAGCATTTGGTGAGCATTGGGTGAACTATTTATCATTTCACTCAAGCTCGAATTTTAGGCTTCAATCGAGCTTCTAAACTTTTTTTGAGTTCAAGCCTTTTCAAGTTCAAGTTTCAATATTATATTTCAAGTTCGAGTTGAACTTGATAATTTTTAGCTCGTGAGTTTGAGTCGAGTTGAGCTTACTTTTAAAGTTTTCAAGTTCGAGTCGAGCTCAGCAATACTCGAGTTCGACTTGGCTCGTTTAACAAACGATGTCGTTTGGTTTAATTTTTAAAAAAAAACAAAATTGGCGGTTTTTTTTTTGATTTTCAGCCGTTTCGGTTCGAACGGTTCAGCGGTTCCGGTCGGTTCACTAGTAGCGGTTCAATCGATGTAGATTGAACCGGACTAGGCAGCGGTTCCCGGTTGAACCGACCAGTCCGGTCCAATTTTCAAAACACTGATCAAACCACACCCATCTTTTCCCATGAACACTCATGGAAACGCACCCCAAGTTTTGGTTTTTATAAACAGACCCCAAAGGCAGCCAATTTGTCGAGACCTAAAAAGAAATGAAGATGAGAAGATCATCGCCAAATGGTGTTGTTGTGGGTGGGCCAAATGAAGGTTACAAAAGACACCCGAATCACCGCCAATCTCTAGGCCGAGGTTTGTTCCCTTAGTTTAGTCGACAAACTCACCAACCTGCCAGCTCCTTCCACTCCTATTTCTACAACGAAAAATTGTTCATCATTTTCTTCTTCGTCATCTTACTCTTCTTCTTCAACTCCAGATTCAGCTTTCTCTTCTTCTCCTCCTCCCATGCATCGTTCTCGTTTTAGTAAAGATCAGGGAAAAGCTTCTTCGTTTTCTTTGTTATGGTTCAGTGGCAAGAATGTACTCAGTAGCTTTCATTTCCAGAATCAAAAGCAATGATTATGATTATAATAAGAAGAAGAATATCAATCCCAGTAGTGGGTTCTTCTGAAAGTTGATACATTTATTGCAAATTTGTGTGGTGGTTTTTTCATGCAATAGTTTCCTCAAGAGATTTGTAGTATAGCTTCAGTTGGAGCATCTAAATTTGTTTAAGATAGAAGAGATAAAGAAAATATTGTTGAAATTCAAAGCAAGCATCCACAAAGTAAAAAAGGGGGCAACTAAATTGATTTCAACAGGGGGCGGCTTGGGTTTTCAATAATTGGGGGCATCGAATTCGGTGTCCCAATTTTTAATTAAAATAGAAATAGAGTTAATTACAATATTAGTCCCTAAGCTTCAACTATAAATACCTTAGCTCATTTAGCTTTAAAATCATCCCAAAATCCCAAAAATCATTTCTTTCTCCCATTACTAGAGAGCTTTCTTGTGAGTAGTAAGTGTTTTGTTAACACCTGTAATTTTTCTCTCTTAGTAAAAGATCTACAGTAGTCCGGAGACATAAGCAAAATTGGTTGAACTCCGTTATCAATTTCGGGTATTATTTTTCCGCTTTTATTTCGTATTCTTACTAATCTGGTTATACGGAAATTACTCATTACTCATTTATTTCCTAACAACTGGTAATCAGAGCTTTTGGTTGTGAATTTTGTCAATTTTTTACAGGTTACTATTCATTACTGTTCACATGAATAATGAATTCGTGAATAGTAAAAATTTTGTCGGTGATACGAATTTTTCGACAGAGGTGTTCTAATACACGGTGGTTCACAAGAATTGTCAGAAACGA